TAGTAAATTTGCAGAAATTATTTATTAGATATTCTATTGATCAAAGGAATTGTGAACCTTCTGATTTTTTAACTTTGTTAGTAGAAGTCTTATAATTACAATTGGATTTGTTATTAATTTTTATGTCCTATCAAAATATCCTATCATATCCAAATTAGTTAAGATTTCAGCTTGTTGTCGTTATACGTGGTATCTTTATTTACAATTGTTCCAATGGAATTAGCTATGGATGCACTTTCTAGTAGATACATTTACATTAAAAATAATTGCAAGATACCGAAGGATGATTTTCTGTAGGCTGTACACACTTAATTTTGGATTCTACTTACTTTGCTTTCGATGGTCAAATATATAAACAGACCATTGGTACTCCGATGGTTTCGCCATTATCACCTATTATTGCTGTCATCATGCAACAAAATTTAGAAAATCGAGTGCTGAGTTCCATTGAATTCCTTTTGTTTTTTTACTGCAGGTACGTCGATGATATGGTACTATGTTTACCGCCCATTACTGAGGTGGATAGCATCTTGGAAAAATTCTCTTTTCACCAGAGCGGTTAACATTGCAGTTTACGATGTGAGGGGTAACACCATTAATTATTGAGACACTACTATTCTTTTAAAGAATGACGGTCTAATTTTTGACTGGTACAAAAAACCAGGGTTGCTAACGTTACATAAAAAAGTAATGAAGTTCCTAATTTCGTTACTTTTTTGGTAACGAATGAGTAACGGAATTACTTTTACTAATGAGTAACGAAGTTACTTTTACTAATGAGTAACAGTAATGATAACTAAATCACAATTTTTAAGAACTAATAACGAAATTTTACGTCTTTTTTTCGTTATTCCGTGGATATAGGATTATTTTAATAAGGACGCGTTTACGTCTTGACGGAAAAGCAGAAAGCGGAAAAGCAGTGGCTAATCAGAACTCCCGCAGGTAGAAAGTGATACAAAAAGCCAAAATTGACGGCACCCTAACAAACGGACGTATTGAGCAACAGTTACCTCTATTATTAAACAAAAATTCCAGATTTAGCGATACAAATTATTTATAACTTAAAGTTAAGATATATGTACAAATTTAAATATGTACATATTAAAGAGTATCATATTAAAGAGCAAATGAAGAACTAATAAAATAAAACAAAAATATATATTAAAAAACTATTTGTTCTTATGTAGTTATAATTTGAATAAATGCAATCATTTTTTAAAAATAACGAAAAAGTAACGATTTTTCTGTTACTTTATGGGACAATAACGCTTTACTTTTAGAATCCGTAACGAGTAAAGAGTAACGAATTATTTTTTACCGCAAATAACAATAACTGTAACGCGTTACTCAAAAACGGTAAGTTTAACAACCCTGCAAAAAAACTTTTCGGGCAGATTTTTGAATCACTGATCTCACAATACGATTTCACAAAAGAAGGGCATCATCGAAAGAGTTTTTATTTCTCACATTCAGAATTTTACAAAAGAAATTAAAATTTTTTTATT